AATATAAATACTTGGCAACAAATAATATTCAAGCAGAAATCCTCTAAAGATGTCCTTTTTTTCATTTCCCACACATTAACTCCCACTCAGAAAACTCCTACTCTGATTTTTTTCCACTTTCTGGCTTAGTTCTCAGAAACAGCAGATGAGATGGTAAAGTTGTGCTATTTGAGTTGTGTTACTTCAGACTGATGATGTGAGTTGACATAATTCAGTGTTCCTCTACTTAAATAGCTAAGTTGATTAGTTATTAATAGATAACCAGATTAGGCTAGGCCTTTCCCAAGGCACCTATTTCTCTACACTGATAATAATAATGATTTTAGGAGGAGTCTCTAATCATCGTTCAGTCACTGAAGACCTCCCTCTGCAGCCTGATGTAGTGCAATGGAGATATCATTGTTACCACTTCCTCCACTTCTGCTTGTGAGAAATAAACCTCAGCCACTTCCTGGTTTCCTCAGGACTTTTTATCCCACCCCCCTTCCCTGCCTATCTTTTCCCAGCTGTAACTAGAACCCAGCAGGTGAGCAGCCACTGGAAACTGGATTAAACAAAAAAAAAAGCATTTAAAAAAATTCATTCTCCTAGAAGAGGGGTGTCAAACTAGATTTCTTCGAGGATCAGCATTATAGTTCTCTGCGGGCCAGCCAGAGAGGGAGGGGGAAACGGGACGGATGCCTCCTGCAGCAGTTTGCCAGCCAAAATGGGGCACGGGAGGGACCACACCCTGCACCCTGTTTTGGCTGGCAAAGTGCTGCAGGAGGTGACCAGGCCAAAAATGGGCTGCTAGACGCACAACAGACTGGTCCTCTGCTATTTCCAGCCCGGCTTTACGGGCCAGATTTAAGCACCCCATGGGCCGTATCCAGCCTGCGGGCCTTGAGTTTGACACCCCTGTCCTAGAAGTATAGAATTCTTCCTTGGAATGATTCCTTATCATCTTACCCTCAAAACAACCTTACAGGTTAAGTAAGGAATTAGCGCCCAGGTTTCATTAATCTTTAAGAAGTAGAAATCGGAACCCAGCACTTCTATCCAATTGAAGAGCAGCACTTTGTCAACAACACAGCACAAAAGCCAAATGAATGGATTTATACTACTACTTTTAGTTGTACTGGTAAACTTGGATGCTGACGATCGGGGGCGGGGGNAGTGCGCCAGGAGAAGACTCTATGGCAAGGGGAGGGTTTTCCAGTTGTCTCCACAATTGATAGGGCTTCCGGTTAGGACAGGTAGAGGAAAAAGTACGCCGCGCCAGGAGGAGATTCTACGGTGGGGGAACTGAACTTCCCGTCAGCTCCAGAATTGAATGGGGGAGCTTCCGGTTAGGACCTTTGGGGCTCCCGGTGTTTTCTTTTCTGTGGGAAACGGGTCTAAATGGCTCTTTGAGTCTTTAAGTTTGCCGACCCCTGTCCTAGGGAAATGTGATTTATGACACAGACTGAGGGGAGGGAAGGAACAGGGGTAAAGTTCAGCCATATATCAAACAAAGCAGAGGCTTGACTGCGAACAGATCTTGCCTATGGTGCTCCCTAATAAATGACTGGTTTTGTATTGAAACTTGGCTCGATACTCATGAATCAATTAGGGCATTTTTAGGAAACCGTACAAAGATAATCTTTGATTTACAACAATTCATTTGCTGACTGTTTCAAGTTATAATGGCACTTTAAAAAAGTGCCTTCTGATCGTTTTTCACACTTACGACCGTCGCAGCCTCCCCATGGTCACGTGGTCAAAATTTGGCCGTTTGATTCATTTATGACGGTGGCAGTGTCCTGGGGTCACGTGATCCCCTTTTGCGACCTTCTGACAAGCAAAGTCCGTGGGGAAGCCAGATTCACTTAGCAACCATGTCACTAATTGAACAATTACGTTGATTCACTTAACGGTGGCAAGATAGTCCATATAATTGGGGGAAGAATTCACTGAACTACTTGTCTCACTTTACATCAGAAAGATTTGACTCAATGGTGGTCATAGGTTGAGGACTACCTAAAATCGACTAAAACGGTGTCCTCTTTTTTTTTTTAATTGGGTCACTGATCTTGAGAAGAGATTAAGCTGAGTTTCGTAAAAGCCACCAAGGAGCCGAAACGCTTTCAAGACACATTTTCCAAGACAGTTTTTGTTCCAGCTGTGTAATTTACGTAGAAAGGAAGTATGATATCCAATTATCGGTTTTGTTTGCGTAGAGATATAAGCAGGAAACCTTCTCTGTATGCACTTTTTTTTGTTTTTACCAAAATATAATGCTTTTGAACAACAAGCAAAAATCCCCACCAGCGAAACTCCTGATGCTATTTTTAAATCAGACGATTCTGCTCGGAGTAAATTCAACAAAATTGACTTTTCTCAGCTCAAGTTGCAGTTCTAGCGTTTTTTTTTCTTCACCCGTACCATCCCTCTGCTACACAACTAATTCTCATAACATTGTCAAGCCACCTAAGAGGGCTGTATGACAATTTTCCTTCTGTTCTTTCCTATTACCTGTCTCTTTATCTTCTTATAATCTTCTTATAACTAGGACTTGGTTGCTGGTATATTATGATTTATATCAATCGTTTGATTTTGCATCCTAGCATGGTTTATGTTGATGGCTTACTTAGTATCCCATGACTATCATTAAGTGTTGCATCTCATGATTTATGATGAATGCACTTTTATGATGACGGTGATCATGATTTATCACTTGTTGCTTGTATGTACAATGAGAGCTTATGCACCGGAGACAAATTCCCAGTGTGTCCAATCACACTCGGCCAATAAAGAATCTTGTCTTGCCTTGCCTTGTCTTCTGCTATTCCATTCCAATATTCTATTCTGTTCTATTCTGTTCTGTTCTATTCTATTCTATTCTATTCTATTCTATTCTACTCTACTCTATTCTTATTTCTACCCTACCCTACCCTANCCCCCTGCTCAAGCAGGAGAACCTATACCATTTCAGACAAAATGGCTGTCCAGTCTCTTCTTTAAAATGTGGGTGACTTCATTTTTCTGACAATAAAATGATTGGGGTAGAGGTAAATCCTTCAGTCAGCTGGCTTCTGGGGGAGAAGAGCCCCAAATTCACAACCAGGAAACAAATGAAAACATAAAACTTTAATGAAAAACAGTTCACGGAATCCATCCCGCTTACAAATTTCATGACCCGGGAACGTGTACAAAAGAACGGGCTAATTTTTCAAAGACCGCTAAATAAATTCAGTGGCGGTGGCTATAATCTCTCTATCCAGGTAGCACAACAAGACTGATCAGGCAGGCTGATTGCACCCTGAGCCAACTCCTCTTTTAGCTCTGTGGGACGAGTGGCAAATGCTCATTTTTAGCATGAATGGAGTGAATTGTCATCTTCCTCCTGCTGGAGAATATTTGTCAATGAGATCATCGCCGAAGGAGAAAGGGGTGGGCGATTCAGGATTTTTTTTTTTAATAAAAAAACCCCCAACCCCCATTGTGTGTTTTCAGCTTGGAAGCTACTGCGTTACCTAGAAACGGGTGTGAGAGGCATCAGGAAATGCACGCTGCACCCAAACTCAATGCTTTCTGACATTTGTCATGTTGTACCACAACTCTTGAGAGATCTAGGGGCCTCTCTAGGGATGTCCCAGAATTCTCAAGCTGGATGGACAATTTCAGGAATGGACCAAACAGACCCCCGCTTTCTGTTTTGAGTTGGACCAAACTAAAAGCTCGATTTTGGTGGAGATGGGGAGTTAAGCATTGCCGTCCAACGTTCCTTGAAGGGCAGTGGTGTGGAAAAGGGACTAAAATATACCCTCTTTGCTGTTTGGGGGAAGGTCCTTCAACCCTTCTTCATCATCCTCTTTTGACGACCCCGTAATCCCTTGCAGGGTGGAGTCTGGGCAACTGAATGAAGCTAGCAGAGTGTTTTCATGGCTGGATGCTCTTCCTGTTGCCAGGGCGGGGTTTTGTTCGGCAGATATATATTCTCATTGCGAGAGAAATATCTGCCTCTACCATGGACCGAACTCACAGGCTCACGACTACGAGGTGAGAGCTCCACCTAGGCTAGTCCACCGCACCACTCCAAAGGCCCTTCAACCCTTCCTTGTTGCAATTTTGCCTTTCTTCAAACAGATAGCTCAACTTTTATCAGCATTCGCAGGAAATCAATCACTTACACCCACTGGCTTTGGATTAGCTTTCTTCTAGAGTCCAGAAAACTCTCTATCTTCCAAAAAAAGAAGGGAGGGTTGAAACCACCCCAAAGAGGTAAGTAAGACCAAGTGGCTAGTTGGGTTCGGCCAATGAGCCAGAGACCTAAAAGCCACAGGGAGTTTTTCTAGAGGCCTTCTCAGAATATTTTAGGCCACACATCACAGAGAAGAAGGTGGACCAACAATTCTTCAGTAGCTAAAGGAGACTGGAGTCGAGCCATGGCATTAGGTAGATGTGAGGGTTTATTTTGAAGCAGAATTCTCACTAAGCAACGGTTGAAGGATCCGTGTCCATCACCACCTCTAAACATCTAAAGATGTTGGCTTGGAATTTTCTAGGTGGGAAGTCACCAGGCTGCAGAGGTCCAAGTTTTTTTTTCCCCAGGAGCATCTGGGCAGCTGTTCAAAACGGTAGCTTGGGAGGCCCACCTTGGGAAGGAAGATCCGTGCTTTACCACCCAAACTGTCTCCCCCCACATTCGTCCGTCAAAACACTCCTATGGAAATTCTCCTTTCTTCTACTTGGATCGTTCACGCCACCATTAAAATTCGGCAGGCCGTTCTGAGTTGTCGTTGGCTGGCAGGCAACTCCGTGAAAAAGCCCTGTTTTTCACCCCCAAGCATGGGGGTCAGCAACCTGCGGCTCCGGAGCCGCATGTGGCTCTTTCATCCCTCTGCTGCGGCTCCCTTTTGCCGGTCAGCTCCACACTGGATAGGGCTTTCGGTTAGGACAGGTAAAGGAAAAAAGAATGCCGTGCTAGGAGGAGACTCTATGGCGGGGGGGACAGAAGTACCGGCAGGCGCTGCATTGGACAAGGGACTTCTGATTAGGACCTTGGTGGCTCTTTGAATGTTTAAGGTTGCTGACCCCTGCCCAAGCCCTTCACAATTGACAAAGGGCTGCCGGGGAAAGATTTTTAAGGGAAAGTTTATGCTCAAGAGTCTCATATTTTTGGGATAGCAGTGGAGGGACAAACCTGAGCTTCTCCATCATGGTTTGGAGCTAGTCCTCCTCCGTGGGCTACCACGAGCTGAAGTCTCCAAAGCCTCCAGTTTTCTTCTCCTTCTTGGCGACCCCGCTGGTGGACGGCCCGTCTTCCGCTGCTCGCTTCCTGCGTCACAAAATGCCCAAGTCACCCCACTTTCCTACAGACTCTGGCTTAAGGTCGCACTACGAACAGCCCCTGCCTTAAGGTTCTCCAGAAAGAATGGAAGAGAGGAGCTGAACATTACAAAGGGGAGGCCAGAATGAAGTCAAGGAGCCCACAAATTTCCTTTGGGGCAAACGAATTATTCTATTTTTATTCCTATTCTATTCTGTTTTGTTCTATTCATTTTTTCCATTCCATTCTATTCTACTCTATTCTTTTCTATATTCTATTCTATTCTATATTCTATTCTGTTCTGTTCTCTATTCTATTTTTTATTCTCTATTCTATAATGTTCTTTTCTGTATTCTATTTATTATTTTCTATTCATTATTTCTATTCTATTCTATTTCTTATTTCTATTCTGTTCTTTCTGTTCTATTTTCTATTTTCTGCTCTCTGTTCTCTTCCTCTTCTCTTCTCCTCTACTCTCTTTTCTAGTCTATTTATTCTCTATTCTGTTCTTTTCTCTATTCTATTCTAATTCTATTCTGTTCACTATCCTATCTGTCTATCACCTATCTCTCTGTCCATCTGCCCTGTCCTGTAACTATTTCTATTTTTCCACTGCCTGAACCCACAAAAATGTCTGGACAAATTCAATAGGATGAACAGGTAAAGGTTATTTTTCCGCATCACATGCAGTATTGCTTTGTCTCCCCATAGAAAACAACCTAGAAATTAAAAAAAAAAAGTAAAATACAACCAGAACTTACGCCGCTGCTATATTTATGTATTTCCCAACTCCTGTGTGGTAAGTTTTTGGTGTGGGAGGTTCTTTCTTTCGGACTTCTTTGCTTTCTCTCTTTATTGCCTCCTCTTCCTGCTGGGCCTTCTCTCTTTCTTGGGTGATCTTAGAGAAAGTGAACAAAGAAAGATCACTCGGTTGCTCTTCCAAAAAAACCTTTGAAAAAGAGGTTTCAAACCAGGCACAGAGCACAAGTTGGCTGAAAATGTGAGATGGGCAGCAGCTGCACAATTTTTTTTATAATTTTAGAACTGGTGGTGATGAGCAGATATAGGAAGGAAGGAAAAGGAAGGAATGACCGAATGAAGGAACGAAGGAAAAGGAAGAAAAAGGAAAGGAGGAAGGAAGGAAGAGGAAGGAAGGAAAAGGAAGGGGAAGGAAGGAAGGAAATGGAAGGGAAAAAGGAAAAGGAAGGAACAGAGGAAAAGGAAGGAAAGAAAAAAGAAGGGGAAAGGAGGAAAGGCGGGAGGATAAGAAGAAAGAAATGAGGGAAGAGGAAAAAAGGAAGGAAAGAAAAAAAGGAGAAGGGGAAGAAAAAAAAAAGAAGGAACGACAGATCTTTCTTGCTCTCTGTTGCTTCCTCATTTGTGAGAAAGGAAGCCAAGATAGGACATGACAATAATCACACAAAGACACAACTCCTAGTGAATGAGATTGATGTTGTGGTTGTAAGGTGACCTGCATTCCGTTGGGCCCCTTTTTTTTGCTTTTGGGAGAACGACAGACAGCAACTTTCGATGAGTTACTGACCCATCTGGTCGTGCAACAGTATTTTCACTATTTCTGCCTTTCCCACCAGCTGAATAAGCACCAAAATATGAGAGAATTCGGGAGGGTGAAGGACAAGTGACTTGCAGTCAATTCTCTTCCTGAACTCTTCTGAAGTCTCACCTGGGCGTCTGCCTCTTCGTAGGGATCAACAAAAACTGTTGTGGACTTGATTTTTATTTCTTCCTTTAAAAAAAGAGAGAGAGGGAGGAAAAAAAAACAGGGTGGGAAAATTGCACAGGATTTTCGCTGCTGCTTTGGTGCGAAGTTGAAGTCCCTAAACATCGCCGAGGCTGTTTCAATCCAGGGCATGTTCTCTTCCCGTTTGATCTTTTAATCTCAAAGAGACTGACCTTCGGATGGTCCGTTTTGGGATCGCTCTCCACGTTCTCCATCGCGGTGAGGGTCTCAAAGCCGCCTACGACTCTGGGGAAAGGAAGAGAAGAAAAAAAAAAACCCGCACGGAGTTAAGGACGTCGTATGAAAAGCCCAGCCTAATTGGGGAGAGGAAGGAGCTGGTGTGGCCAACGGAGGGAAGGAAGAGAAGGCGGCTCGGCGGTGGCCTTCGTAAGTCAAAGTGAAATCATAAGCGCTAAATGGGAGACAGTAGGGGTGTTTAACGTCCTTTCGTTTAGGATAGAATAGAAAATAGAATAGAATAAATAGAAAATAGAATTGAAAATAGAGAATAGAATAGAACAGAGTAGAAAATAGAATAGAATAGAAAATAGAATAAATAGAAAATAGAATAGAAAATAGAATAAATAGAAAATAGAATAGAATAGAATAAATAGGAAATAGAATAGGAAATAGAAAATAGAGAATAGAATAGAAAATAGAATAGAATAGAAAATAGAATAGAATAGAAAATAGAATAGAAGAATAGAATAAATAGAAATAGAATAGGAAATAGAAAAGAGAATAGAATAGAAAACAGAATAGAATCAATAGAAAATAGAAAATAGAATAGAATTAATAGAAAGAATAGAAAATAGAATAGAATTAATAGAAAGTAGAAAAGAAAATAGAGAATAGAATAGAACAGAAAATAGAATAGAATATAGAGAATAGAATAGAATTACAGCAGAATAGAATAGAATAGGGAATACAGTAGTGTAGAGCAGAGTAGAATAGAATTAGAATAGAATAAATAGGAAATAGAATAGAATATAGAATAGAGTAGAATAAGTAGAATAGTTTATATAGAATAGAATAAAACAGAACAAATAGAATAGAATAGAAGTACCAAAGACCCCACAGTCCTCCCCTTGTTCCTCCCCTCATTTCCCTAGAACTGAAGATGTTCCCTAGTTGGGTAATGAAACGTCAGCAAGAAAACAACCAACTCAGAGAGCATCCAGGACCCCTCAATTCAACCCTGAGCTTCAAATATTCTTCTCTATCAATACGATTTGCAGTGCAACCTTTGTTAATTTCCCTCCCTTTTGAGTGCTTGAGCTCTTCGTGAATTTGAGCTCTTTTACAGAGGGAGGGGGGGATTGCAAATCCGTGTTTTTTTTTCTCCAGACTTTTTTTGCCACACAGGCTGCGGTTAAGGTAATTAACGAAATGCTGGCTGAGATATAGAGAACTTTCTTGGCTTACCTTCCAAATATGGTGTGCTTCTTATCCAGGTATGCACAGGAGCGGAAAGTAATGAAACTGAAAAAAAGAAAAGAAAAAGGGGGGGCATAAAATGAACCCATCAAGGCTTTCCCAAAAATGAGTGAATCACAGTCACACAAACAGCTCTCTCTCCTCTCAGCCAAGTTGTCACCAGCTGGAGGTACGTACAAGCAGTCCTTGACTTACAACAGTTCGCTTAATGACCGTTCAAAATTACAACGGAACTAAAAAAAGAGAGACTTTTACGAACGTTGGCAGCATCCCGGAACGTGAGGTACATTTGGATGCTCGCTAATTGACTGACGCTTATGACGGCGGCTGTAACCCCGGAGTCATGTGATCTCCTTTTGCGACCTTGTGACAAGCTAAGTCCATGGACAGGGTCTTATTTTCGGGAAAAACAGTGTAGTAAGACTGTTGTGAAGTGAATGTGTTTTCCCCATGGACTTTGCTTGTCAGAATAAGGCCAAGTGCTTTTTTTTTTGGGGGGGGGGTCAAAACAAAATAAGACAGGGCTTATTATCCAGGGAGGTCTTATTTTGGGGGGAAACAGGGTAGTGCGACAACTTCAGCGATTCCCTTAAGTCAACGTGGCCAAGAAAAGTCGTAAAACGGGCCAAACTCACTTAACAAATGTCTCTGTCAGGTTTCCTAAAAATGCCCTAATTGATTCATGAGTATCAAGCCAAGTTTCAATACAAAGCTAGTCACTTATTAGGAGCACCATTAGGCAAGGCCTTTTTTGCAGTCAGACCTGAGCCTCATTTGAATTATAGCTGAACTTTAGTCCTGTTCCTTCCCTCCCCTCAGTCTGTGTCATAAATCACATTTCCCAATGAGGTGCACCCCTCCCAAGCCTGCTGCGGTCATCTAAGATCCGACTTCAGTCGAAAGTTAAGCGTGGAATGCTCTCTCTTTCCCCCCCCCCCGCTTTCTCTCACTATGGCAACTTTAGAAGTTGACAGTTTCACTCAGCCACCTACATCTCGGGCTCAACTGTGGTCGTAAGCCGAGGACTACCCATTCCTATCTCAGCAGAGTGAACGGCGGAGAACGAAGCTTTAACCTTTCCAGGTGAATTTGGAAAAAAAAGAAAGAAAAAAGGATTCTAAAATGAGGATCGGTCGTTTGTTATCACAGAGCTCACTCTGCAATCGGTGCTTTCTCAGATCCAATTACACAATGCCACGGAGTAGGTTGATTTGAGGTTTAATTTACAGCATTCCTGGAAGTCTGTGTTTTACAGACAGAGGAAACGCAGGAGCAAGTCAAAGGCCTCTCCGGGGGGACTGTAGGCAGGCCGTGAGTTACAACCGGTGGCTTAATTATGGTTCAAAGTTACAATGGGCTATAATGAATCAGTGGAAGAATTTGCCTCCAGAAGTTGTGAATGCTCCAACACTGGAAGTTTTTAAGGAGATGTTGGCTAATCTTTTGTCTGAAGTGGTGTAGGGTTTCCTGCCTGGGCAGGGGGTTGGATTAGAAGACCTCCAAGGGCCCTTCCAACTCTGTTATTCTATTCTATTCTTATTCCTATTCTCATTCTAATTCTATTCTAATTCTAATCCTATCCTATATTCTCTATTTTAATCTCTCTTCTCTTCTATTTTCTATTCTATCCTAATCTAATTCCTGTTCGAATTCCTGTCCTATTCCTATTCCATTCCATTCTCCATTCCATTCCATATTTTCTGTTCTGTTCTGTTCTATTCTCCATTCCATATTTTCTATTCTATTCTCCATTCCATTCTATATTTTCTATTCTATTCTCCATTCCATTCCATATATTTTTTCTCTTCTCCATTCCATATTTTCTTTTCTATTCTATTCTCCATTCCATATTTTCTATTCTATTCTATTCCATATTTTCTATTCTATTCTCCATTCCATATTTTCTATTCTATTCTATTCTATTCCATTCTCCATTCCATGTTTTCTGTTCTGTTCTATTCTTCATTCCATATTTTCTTTTCTTTTCTATTCTACATTCCATTCCATATTTTCTATTCTATTCTATTCCATTCCATATATTCTATTCTATTCTCCATTCCATATTTTCTATTCTATTCTATTCTCCATTCCATGTTTACTGTTCTGTTCTGTTCAATTCTATTCTCCATTCTATATTTTCTTTTCTTTTCTCCATTCCATTCCATATTTTCTTTTCTATTCTATTCTCCATTCCATATTTTCTTTTCTTTTTATTCTATTCTATTCCATTCCATTCCATATTTTCTATTCTATTCTCCATTCCATTCCATATTTTCCTATTCTATTCAATTCCATTCCATATTTTCTATTCTACTCTATTCCATTCCATATTTTCTATTCTATTCTATTCTATTCCATATTTTCTATTCTATTCTCCATTCCATATTTTCTTTTCTTTTTTATTCTATTCTATTCCATTCCACATTTTCTATTCTATTCTATTCTATTCTATTCTATTCTATTCTATTCTTTCTTCAGCTCTGACTTCCAGTCCCCCACCATCCTGTCAGAGCTGAAGAAGCTTCTTGGATACGAAGTGAAACATCTTCAAAGAAAAATCAGAAAGTCCAGTTGCCTCTTGGGGAAAAAAAGCACTTTTGGGACCCTCCTCCAGAGGTTCACATCTCCTCCTGATGGGAACACACAAGGACAACAGAAGAGCCAAGTCACCACTTACAATTGAGATTTGTTGCTGTTGGGCCCTGTGTTGGCCATGCTGAGGATCCCTCGGCCCTTGTGGGACAAGTTGGGCCGCAGTTCGTCTTTGAATGGCTTTCCCCAGTACGATTCCCCTCCTGAAATGAAAACATGGGCATGTCTAAAAGCCAGCTTTGCTTCTGCTTGATGGAATGAGGACGGGGTAAGAGGATGAGCCTTTTCTGCATGAAATAAAAGCCAAGAGGCTGCCTCAAGGCAACTCCTGGGTTCCACCTCAGAAGCACCCCATAGTCCATCTGTTTGTCCTTCCTTCCTTCCTTCCT